AGCGTGTGAAAGATCACAGAGGAGCTTCAGGGGACACAGGCCTCTCCGGCTCAGTTGTGGTTGATGTTGGTCTGGGTGGAGTTTGTTTTTTAATTTTTTTCCCCTTTTTTTTTTTTTTTTTTTGGGGGGGGGGGGGGTGACAATAAAACACGTAACTCTGATTTCAGGCTGAGGCTGGTATGGTCTTAATGTGGAGATGTGGGGAGGCTGACAGGGAGGGGACGCAGAGCGGATTCCTTTGTTGTGACTAATCTCTGGTTTACAGCTTCAACGGCTAACTCCCATGCTTCCATTATCGGACAGGTTATTGTCTATATTGTCTAACATTGTCTGTTTGACTTTCAGTCAACAGAATATAAACCGGCAACCTCACACAGTCGCACCTCTATTGTTATTCAAATGCCCAGATTCCATCTAATTTAAGTATTACGTTATAACGTTAGCTTAGCACTGATGTCACCCTGATTTCTGACAGGAGAAACCTCAGACTAATATCGCGAGTTTGTCCTCCTCCTCAGCTTTGTATTAAAGAAAATGATGTGGCCCGGTCAGCCCATAACCTCCCGGTGCTCGTTATTATGTTTCGTTTGTGGCTGCAGTAACAAAAACCAAGAAATCGTGTCCGGTAATGGAACCAGATGGGTAGAGGCACAGAGCAGAAGGCGCTGCTCGGTCTGAAACAATGATGACGTTTATAACTTTTATAACGTTTTAACGATCAAACTCATCATATATCTAAAACCTGTTAATCAGTGAACACAGCCCTGTGTTAACACGTCGCTGGCGGATAAACGGTGAAATATCTCCAGCTCGCGGGTTAACGGCTGACGTGACGCTTCCTGCGTGTATCAGTGAGAACAGGTGGGCCGCGTCGGTACAACACAGCAAAACCGGGGCCGAGCTACCGCCTCGTTCACCGGTAACCTCTGTGAAAACGGTTCAAACGGATTCATCTTCGCACCAAAAACACGCCTCTGGACAAAAGTCCATTTCCCCCATTCACGACCACATTCAGGGTCAGACAGCTGCTCCCGACCAGAGACCATCCGCTCGCGTCAGGGTAGCATCACCGGCCGGGCTAACGACCGCGGCTAACGACCGCGACCGAACCGAACAAACGTGAACAGTCCGGACAAAACGACCATACTTTCGCGCGATTTACCGTCTGTCGGTCATTAAAGCAGGTTAAACCGACAGAAGGAGCCTTTCCCTTAACTTATTTATCTCCACGTCAGCGTCTGGACAAGCACACGATGCTAACCCCGACTGATGCTCAGAAACTTGTAAGACGGAAAAAAAACCGTTAAGATCCGTCTGATCTTAATTTCTCTCACACCGAAGATCAAAACTAGATTATTAATCTGGTCCACAGATAAAAACCTGTTCCCGCGCCGATTAACCGTCGTTTTGCGTTCAGATACTCACAAGATGCAGGAGCCGGTGAATCCTCCGTCACCGCAGGTCGCTCTGCTGCCTCTGCGGGGGCTGGGGCTGCTTTCCGGGATTCAGCCGCTGGGAGGGCGTCGCTCGCTGGGGCAGGTTCTGGCTCGGGGGCGGCCGGTTGCTCCAGTACAAACGTACTTTCCGGTTCGGCTTTAGGGGCGACGACTTGTGGCTCCTCTACGATTAGGGGGGTCTCAGGAACAAAAGCAAATGTGGTGGAGTCCGGGATCTCCTTCTCCATCTCAGGCTTCGGTTCCGGTTCCTTCACCCCTGGCACCGACACAGGATCTGGCTCCAGTAACGTTACCGGCTCCGCTGGGGAAGCGAAGGAAGTGTCTGTGACCTCGTGTGGCGCAGTATCTTCAGCAATGTGCCTCTCCAGAGCGTCCTGAGCCCCGCCGACCAAGTCCACGATGTCATCCACGCTGAAGAGGTCTTGTTTGAGCCGGTCCGGCTCGGGGTCCGGTTCGGCCTGGTAGTGGTGCACCCCCTCGCTGAACAGAGAAGTGGTGGAAGAGACTTGCTGCTCCTCGCTGTCTGCCATTTTTCTTTTTCTTCCCAAAGTATGTCCTCAGGTGCGAAAAGTTAAAGTCCGGTAATTTTTCGGCTCAGTTACCGCGTGTAACAAACTTTCACCAGGAAGAGCTGTGAAACTGCGCTGGTTACTTCCTCCGCTAACACTGCTTTTTCACCCCGGAAAATTGTGTACAAGTGCGCCACACGACAGTTGCCCCAGAGTCGGACCCGACTCCCAGGCGTCCACCGTGAAGTTGAGAAGAGGGGAACTCCGCTGACCAATTACCTGCGGTTTAACTTCTGAGTGACACGAGCAGTGGCCAATCAGAGTAGCCAAAGTAGCCGCTGACCCCGCCCCCGTCAAACTGAACCTGAGGAGGAGCAGAGAGTTGCTCCAGCAGGGCAGTTATTACATAATTTAACTTACTCCATTTTCTTCAGTACATTTACCGAAGTACCGTGATCACGTGACGTCGACCAACAGCTACCTGGACCTGAGTTTTTACGTCATGTTATTGTATTCACGCAAAGAGCAGAAAAGGGAGAAGTAAAGAACATTTGCATTGTATAAATACTCTGTTATAAGTTTAAAGTACTAAAGTATTAGCATCAAAATATAAAGTACCAAAAATAAAATTTCAGAATAACATGGAGTTCTAATACTCAATTAATGATAATAAATAATTTTGGCTAATTGAATTTTAAATACTTTATATCCTGAGTTCGTTTTATTAATATGAATCTGAAACATAATTAGTAGCTGACCCTTTGAATGAAATGCATTAAAAATATTTCCCTCTAAAATATGGTGAAAAATAAGGTAAGGTACAAGAACCTCAATATTACACTCAAGCACAGAACTTGACTAAATGGCTTCAGCTATTTTCGACCACTGTAACAGTCACTCTTCACGGTAAGAGAACAGTGCTGGAGCTGCAGAGGCTGACCCTTCTGGCCACTGATGTTTTGTCTAGCGCCACCTTGAGGTTGACTGTCGTAGTGACAGTGAAACATCTGTCTGATGGATTACATGATATTCAGAGGGTAGATGCTAACTCATGCTACTGGCCCAGTCAGTCATGTTCCCCAGAGGATGAACCCTATTGACTGAGGACAGTCTCACCTTGTCTCTCCACAGAGATCAATAAAGTTTGTTCAGAGAACGTCAAGTGAGGAGCTGAGGACAGGCTGCTCTATATATAACATGAGAGTATATATGTCTGTAAGTCTATACGGACACAAACATGTGACACTGTGACGGGGTCGGGAGGGGGGGTGGGGTTCTGCTAAAATCAGATCTGCTGCTTCTGACAGGTTTGATTGATTATTGATTATTTATTGACAGTAGGTTTTAACTTGTGTATCATGTTGATTTTATTCACTTGATGTTGAGAGAATTGATTGGTATTAATATTTATTAGCTGCTGTTTTCTTAAGAGTTATTCTGTTTATCACTAATAATTTATGATATCATTGATACATTGATCAATTTATTGATCAGATTACTTAAGTCAGGTTGGCACTTATTGGAGTTTTGAGACTGAGCCACAGGAAACCAAATTGCTTGTCCTTTACTGTCACTTTGCTAACACAGTGATGTTTGACAAGAATAATGTTTAACATTTGAGCAGCTGCTGACACTGACCTGAGATCAGTAGAAACTACAAAACTTTACTTTTACATTTTAATGTGGATTCCTTCCTGTCACTGACACTGGAGCCTCATGGTGAATCCTTTAATGTCCAGTATGACCAGTAAGAAAAAACAGTGTCAGTGTGAGTGATGTTTAAAACTGTGGGAGAGAAGATGAGGTCTGAAAGAAGGCGATAGAAAGTCAAAGAAGCTGTGTCATGCTGGGCCAGCATCTCACACACACACACACACACACACACACACACACACTGCAGGAGATCAATATGCTTGATGGAGCCAGGCAGTTGTGAGTCAGCACTGAATCTTTGCATCTTTTGCTGTCTTTGATCTTTTAATCTCATTCTCTCCATCATTGTTCTGGTCTTGCCTCAGTCTCGTTCTAAGTTGTAGTTCGAACTCTACATGGTTTGAAAGCTCTAAGTGTCCTGATTCTGTCTGTGTAAAGTATTTTAGGATCCTCACATCAGTGCAGCAGCTGTGACACAGAACTGGTTCAAACCTGATACTGGACCAGTGACTTGACTGAAATCAAACAGTAACCTTTTTATTTTGGAATATTGTGATAAGAAAGACAACAGGGAGGCACAGGTGATAGAACACAGGTGAAACACACGAGGGGCGGGGCAGACAATCACAAGCAAAAGACAGGAAGTAAAAACACAGTGGACACAGAAGGAACTCTACTTCAAAATAAAACAGGAAATGAATCAAACGTCCAAACCTAAAGTGTCCTCCTAGAGCAGACCGTGACAGGATGTTTGGTCACTGTCATGTTTGTTTATTGTAAAACTCATATTTGTCTTCTTCGTCTTCAGAGGTCACAGCATAAATCTTCATCTCCTACAAGGCGAGCAGAGCGAGATGAACAGAGAGGATTCTGGGTAAACAGTGGGCTTTGTTTATAGACTGTGGGAGTGTGTTTTTTCAGTTGGTGTGAAACAAAGACGGCTCTGTCTGACCTGCGCACTGTGTGTTTGTCAGGGTTACTGGACCTGCAGGAGCTGAGATCATTACTACTCTGATGAGGACACTTCAGGGTCCTCGCAGTGTCTGTAGGGTCACTGTTTCAGGTTTCAGTCAGATTAAAAGAGGGTTAGGGTTAGATTTATTATTTTAATCCTCTTAATTCAATGGAGGGAAACTATGACACAATATTTTATTTCACAATAAGAACAAACAAACAACATAAAATGTAACTTCAAATGTGAGTAAAATAAAAACTAAAATAATAATGAGGTGAATGAACAGTCACAGATGTCATGGTTTATTTCTACCTATTGTATTTCGCATAATACTGGTTATTGTGGCTCCATCAGTCATGGCAGTGTAAATTGCTTTTTATCAGATGCATGCTGGGATACATCCAGCCTCCTGTGACCCTGACCAGGATCAAGTGGGCACAGAGTCCAGGATGTCCTGCCCACCTCCAGGTAACTTCCTCTTTTGTTCATTCTATCAAAGAGTTTTCTCATCAAACTTTGTAAAGAAGGAAAATGTTCCAGAGGTTTTCCCCATGATGAGAACAGGAACACAACGACACTGTCCTTATTGTTGTTGTTGTTGTTGTAAGAATTGTCTGACCTCTGTGTTTGAAGTGAATCTCAGCCTGTTTTCGGATGTGTCTGCCCCCTGCTGGACATCAGCTGTCACTATTTCAGATTTTTTACCTGAGTCATTTCTCTGCCACCAGCCAAAGGTCAAAGGTCAGAGAGTGTGTGTGTGAGTCTCATACTGAGGATGCTTATTCACTGAGAGGAAAACAAAGAAAATACAGAATCTGTTTTTTCATTCTTTTGTCACCTGGTGATGTTTTACTTTGAGTCTTCAAATTTCACACAAAACATTCAACGTCACTGAACGTTATTGAAAGGTCCTTGGATTTTTTTCCTAAACACAGAGGCTTCAGAGTCCTGTAGATATTTACCTAGAGGAAGAACAGGGTTAAAACAGTGGAGACTCTCAGTCTTCACAGGAAGACATGCTCCATGAGGCCGGCTCCTTCCAGATCTGGGGACAGGACTCTGGTCCCACCCTGGTCTAGCAGGACAGACAGGATGTCCTGGCTCAGGTCGGCCCGCTTTAGTTCAGAGCACAGAGACGCAATGAGGATCCAGACTTCCACTGAAGAGTCGCTGTCCTCCAGGATCACGTCCTGTAGCACACCTGAGAGGACGAGACACAGAGGTCACCTCAGGTCAGCTGATATCTCAGTAACTTGACAGAACTTCTTCAAATTTGGCACAAACATTCACTTTGATTCAAGGACGAATTGATTAGACTTTGGTGGTCAAAGGTCAAAGGTCACTCTGACTTCACAAAACATTTTAGCCATTACTGAAGACCTTTGACCTCTCTCCCACTGACTGTTGGTGACGCACCCTGTCCTTGGCTGACGAAGCCGTCCAGCAGCTGGAAAGCTAAATCCCACTGCTGATGGTCAACCAACAGAGTGGAACAAGTGCCACCCACTGACAAGATGGCCGCCCGGCCCCGCCCCCGATGCTTCGTCAACAGCTGGAGGAGAGAGAGGCTGGGCGAGCGACACAGAACCCAAAGACAGTCCTCTGGGAGAGAGAGAAAGACAGAGAGAGAGAGAGGGACAGATGATTGTTTCTGCAGTAAAAAATCTAATCAAGTCAATCTTTATTTGTATCACACCAGTTCACAACAGAAGTTATCTCAAGGCACCTCTTGATGTTTAAATTAACAGTTTCCTCATTAACTTGATTAAATCTGACTTTTTGAATTTCAACTTAATTCAACTCAGAAAGTTTTACACATGAGCGGGTCTGAACACACACACCAGCTGTGAGCTTGTTGCGGTGCTTCATGAACTCGGCAGCACTGCAGATGAGGCCTCTCTTGCACATGCTCAATGCCGTCTTCCTGTCCAGCCCGCAGGCCTCATAGATGATGGTGGCCAACGCCAGACACAGGTCGGCGACGCCGGGGTTGTTCTGCGCGTGCTCAGTGAGGATATCTCCCAGGTGCTCGGTGAAGCTGATTCTGAGAAGAGAAAGATGTGAAGCAGCAGCAGACACTCACGGTCACTCTGACTCATTCATTTTTACTTGTTCTGAGTGACGGCGTGAACAACAAGCTGCGAGGCGCCACGCTGCAGAGCCAAGACCACGCCCACCACCGAGAGAGACGCTGACAGCTCCACACCGTCTGGGAGCGTCATCAGCAGAGCCTGGAAGAACAGGAGGGGAGGGGGCACCGACCCCGGGGGGGCCTGCACAGCTGAGAGGAGAGGAGAGAGAGAGAGGGAGAGGGACAACAATAATCCACAGTTATAGTACATCACTGCCACAGCAGAAATCTGTACATGTGTGTGTGTGTGTGTGTGTGTGTGTGTGTGTGTGTCCACCTTTAAACATGGTCATGGTGTGGAGGTTCCTCAGGACTCCTCCAGGAGAAGTGGCTGCGAGAAGAGCAGCCTTCTCATACTGAGCTAAATCAAAGAGCTCAATGAACCTGAGAGAGGAGAGACAGTCATTCATTCATTCATTCATTCATTCATTCATTCATTCATTCATTCATCACAGACAGTTCAAATTAACACCTGTCCAAGTGATCGGTTAGGAGCTCGGCCTCGTCAGCTCCGGTCGGCTGCTCCTCCTCAAAGAGCTCAGCGTCATCATCTGTCACTGCAGAGCCAACAGGAAGTGACATCATTAAACACATGAGCAAACTTAGTGTTTTAGATCACGGTCTGAGTGGAGCCAAACTGCTGACACAACGAAACACCTGAACATCATCATGAAACATTAAGATATCAGATGTTAATAACTGATCATTAATATTGAATTGTAATTAATACATTTTTTTTTTTTTTTAATTAAAAATAGTATTGATTGATCACAGGTGCAGATTGTCTCACCTCTGTTCTGTCTGATGTTCTCCAGAGTGGAACCCACGAGTTCCTCTAGAGGAACCTGCCCCTCCCCCTCCCCCTCCTCCCAGCTGGACAGACAGTCACACACAGACCATAGACGCCTGCTCCTGCAGACAGACCGAGAGAGACAGAGACAGAGATGTTAAAAACATCAGATGTGCTGGCCCGTCCACCTCATTATATTATATTATATTATATTTATCATTAACATTCTGACCATCACTGATATTCAAACAGCTGCTTATTATTTCTGCAGCAGGTTTCATGGTTCTGTTCTTACAGGACTTTCAGCCGGCGGTTCTCGCTGCTCAGCTGGTCTCTGTGGGACTCGGCGGTCTGCAGCTTGGCGTCCAGCTCGGCTTTGACCTCCAGAGAGACACAGTGACTCTTCCTGTCCATTAGAGCAGCTCTCTGGACCTGGAGGTGCTGCAGATGTCTGTCCAGAGCTTCAGGATCCTCAGACTCAGATACCGTCAACCCTGAAACAGAGGGGACGCAGTCTGACAACCAATCACAGCCAAGGACAGGTAACCACACAGTGGGCCCCTGGACACAAACATCTAAGAGGCTCCCAGAGCAAGACCCCCAGACACAAACAAAAACAAAGAGACACAAACAAATCTCTTTGTTGATGTTTTGTCTCTCTCTCTCTCTCTCTCTCTCTCTCTCTCTCCCTCTCTCTCTCGCTCTCTCTCTCCCTCTCTCTCTCCCTCTCTCTCTCCCTCTCTCTCGCTCCCTCTCTCTCTCTCTCTCTCTCTCCCTTCTTCTCGCTCTCTTCTCTCCCTCTCTCTCTCCTCTCTCTCTTCTCCTCCTTCCCCTCTCTCCCCCCTCCTCTCTCCCTACCTCTCTCCCTCTCTCTCTCTTCTCCCCTCCCTCTCTCTTCCCTCTCTCTCACTCTCTCTCTCTCTCTCTCTTCTCTTCTCTCTCTCTCTCTCTCCCTCTTCTCTCGTCTCTTCTCTCTCCTCTCTCGCCTTCTCTCTCTCTGCTCCCTCTCTCTCTTCGCCTCTCTCTCCTCTCTCTCTCCCTCTCTCTCTTCGCTCTCTCTCTCCCAGCCTCTCTCTACTAACATCACTCATCACATACTCCTTCTTCGACTCCTCTCTCTCTCTCTCTCTCTCTCTGCTCTCCACTTCTCTCTTCTCTCCGTCTCCTCTCCTCTTCTCTCGCCCTCCTCTCCCTCTCTCTCTCTCTCTCTCTCTCTCATCTCTCTCCTCTCCTCTTGCTCCCTTCTCTCTCTCTCCCGCTCCTCTCTCTTCTGCTCCTCTCCTCTCTCTCTTCCCTCTCTAGCTCTCTCCCTCTCTCTCTCCCTCTCTCTCTCCTCTCTCTCTCTCTCTCTCGCTCTCTCGTCCTCTCTCTCTCCCTCTCCTCTCTCTCGCCTCTCTCTCTCCCCTGCTCTCTCATCTCTCTCTCTCAGCTCTCTCACCTCATCTCTCTCTCTCTCCCTCTCTCTACATCTCTCTCTTCTCGCTTCTCTCTCTCTCTCTCCCTCTCTCTCTCATCTCTACGTCTCCCCTCTCTCTCCTTCTCTCTCGTCTCTCTCCTCTCCTCGCTCTCTCTCTCCCTCTCTCTCTCTCCTCTCTTCTTCTCCCTCTCTCCTCTCCCTCTCTCTCTCTCTCTCCCTCTCTTCTCTCTCTTTCTCCCTCTCTCTCTCTCTCTCTCTACTCTCTCCTCTCTCTCTCTCTCTGCTCTCTCCTCTCTCCTCTCTCTCTTCTCTCTTCTCTCCTCTCTGCTCTCTCTCTCCTTCTCTCCTCTACCTCTCCCCTTCTCTCTCTCTCTCCCTCTCCCTCCCTCTCTCCCTCGCTTCTCTCTCTCTCTCTTTCTCTCTCATAATCTCCCTCTCTCTCTCTCTCCTCCTCTCTCCTCTCTCTCTCCCTCTCTCTCTCTCCCTCCCTCTCTCCCTCCCTCTCTCCCTCTCTCTCTCTCTCTCTGTATTTCAACACTTCTTCAGAGTTGTATTTATTTGAAACACAGGTTATACATGATGCTCTTAACATTTTCATTATGTTACAAGGCTCTGACACCTACTCCTGCAGAGCAATCGAAAGAAAGGAAAAAAGAAAATTAAATAAAATAAGCAAAAGAATAAAATGAGTCTAAACAGAACCAGTGGAGTGGAGCAGAACATAGGGAGAGCTATTGTGTTAAATTACCCAGAAATCTTGTCTATAGTTTGTCCAAGCTTTCCAGCACCTTTCAAACTTGTCTTGTTCAAGTCTAAGAATAAATGTCAGCTTCTCCATGGTAAAAATATCCTGAACCACACCCCAGTCCTCCACTGGAGGAGTATTTGCTGGTATTCTTGCTGGCTAATAATAAAATCTTGTTTGTATTATTGAACAACAGGCGCATCCAGCCTGGTTCATCACTTTTCTGTGTCCCCTAGAAACACTTCCTTTGTGTTGTGAGTATCTGCAGTTCATGTTGTCAAACTGATAAAGATGTTTTTTGAATGTGCAGTGAGTTGAGCTCTCAGCCAAAATAATCTGTTGTCATTTATTGAAAAACCAACAACAACAGCTCCGATGAGTCAACCTGAACACACCTGGGTCAGTGTCAGTGGTTGTACCTGGTGTCCATGTGCTCTGATCTTTAGAGGATTTCTGTCTCTGGAGCTCCTCTTGAAGTCTTGATGTTTCCCTCTGAAGCTCAGAGATTCTGGACAGAAACACAGACAGACAGATCAACATGATGATCCAGGTCCAGGTCCAGTCCAGTCCAGTTCAGTCCACTCCAGTCCAGTCCAGTCCAGTCCAGTCCAGTCCAGTTCAGTCCACTCCAGTCCCGTGTCCCCTCTCCATTAGCTCCGTGTTTGGTCTCCACCAGCTGTTCTCTGACTGTCTGTCTGCAGGTAGAGGCCAGATGTTTACAGATGTTTGATGAGAACAGCTGGATGAGAGGAGCTGCAGGCTCACACTGTGATTCATCACCACTGACTCCTCTCACTCTGTTTCATACATGAAAACTCAGCACTTACCTGTCCCTCAGCTGATTGGCCCGTCTCTTACAGGTTATTAGTGATTTTGGACATGACATCGATGCCGCCACAGTTTGCTGAGCTCCCCTGACTTCATCGTTCCTCCTTTTCAGCTCCTGGATGATATCATCGTACTCAGCCTTTATGGTCAACAGCAGTCTCTTATAGTCCGTCGCTTGTGCAATCACCTGTCAGGAAGAAGAAGGGGCGGCAAAACAACAGGACAGAGACAGACTATATAAACTAGTTTCAGCTGAACCTGTAAAATCTGTGGTAACACTAACAGTTCAACACCAGAGACAAACAAGTGAACAGTCATTGTAACAGCTTCACTTTGGCACCAAGAACAACACAACTTTAATTTAGCATATGGACGTTTAAAAATATCTCAGCAAAGTAAAAGTACTAACACAACCTGTAGAAATAAAGTGTCACTAGGAAAATATACCTTCGGTATTCCAGTAAAAGTATTAACACGACCTGTATATCATCAGGACACACTGTGAGTGTTACACTATGATATATTTATCATTTGATTATTATTAATTTTGCATAAAAGTAAAAGCAGGATTTTACTGAGCTTGCTTGAGGTTGAGAGATAACTTATGTTGCCCCGCTGCTATTGATTGTTTTCATTTTAGATTAATATGCTGATTATTTTCTCGATCAATTGATTGTTTTGTTTGTACAAATTCTGAGGACTGTGATTTGGAGTTAATTTTATGTATCTTTGTAGTTTAATCTCTTTGTGGTTGGTTTGCATCTTTGTCATTTTTGACTTTTTTGTAGTCTCCTCGTCCTGTTTGTCTTTGTATAACTAAATGATTTATTTCCCATTAATGAAACCATGACTCACCCCTTGTAAACCCAGTATCAGAAAATGGCACCACAGTGATTCTCCCACTTCCCCTGGCCAAACCGGCCCTATTCCCCCTGTTGTTCTGTGCCAGGTTCGGTTTCATTAATCACCTTGTTAAACACAGAGCGGTAGATAATGTATCGGAGTTCGTCCGGACCGTTTTCCGGACTCTGCAGGAACCGTTTCTCAAGTTCAATAAACTCAAACAGAGACTGAAAAAAACGATCATCGCTCTCAGAAGCCAAGAAACCGGCTGTTGACCGTCTTGTTTCTCCTCTTGAAGATGAACTGTTCCTGGTTTGTTCCGCAGACATTGTTATTTCCTCATATTTTTACGCTAAATTCCAAAGCTTTCGCCTAGTGGCCATTTGCAAACAACGACGTTGCTATCGTTACCGTCAAAATGTACAGCGTAAAGATTGATTTTTTTTTATTTTTTAGGTTTATATAATATAAAATTTTGATTATAGTTACTATGGATCCAGGTGGCAAAAAGAGGTTTAATGACCACAAAACGAATATTTCATGTGTTTTTGATCAGGCGTCGTGAAGGTTACCTATCCCGTGCAAACGCACGCAGAAAACCCCGTCGCTCCACCGGAAAGCCCTCTTCTCATGATCCGCCATTAGGAGTGAACTAGTGGTAAGACTGCGCTCTGTGTTTTAATCGGTTATTTCCATAAAATAATGACTTTTCAGATCATGGTTTGGGACAGAAAAGTGTAAAGTCCTTTGTATGTTCTTGTGTAGGTGGGTTGAACGCCAGGATGCAGATTTTCGTCAAAACCCTCACGGGGAAGACTATAACCCTCGAGGTGGGTGATCCGGGCTGTGATGGACAGTTCAGCGGCCGCTACAGTTTTACTCACGTTGCTGTTTAATCAGGCCGAAAATCCCAAATGTAATCTTTGTATTAGCCACATATTAAGTGCTACGGTGCTTACGTATGATTAAACTTAAGCTGAGTCCTTTTCTCAGTACTTTATTAAAGAAGCTAAGTGGCTAAGCTAGCTGCTGAGAGCACCTTAAACACGTGTGAGACAGCAGCGGGCTGAAGCCGGACCAGCTCCCTCACAAAGTCTTTAGTAACGTTTCTAACAACATTTTAAACTACATGTTTGGGGTTAAAGATTAACTCCAGAGTCCTGTAGCTCAGCTGTGATATGAAACTTTGACCGAGTCCCGACCTGTGGTTGTTCTTTCAGGTCGAACCCTCAGATACGATCGAAAATGTCAAAGCCAAAATCCAGGATAAAGAGGGTGAGTTCATAAACCTTTTTACTTCTGTGGTGATGTATTCTAGAAACAATCTTTACTGAGAAATGGTTTTTACTGTAGAGCTACAGTGATGAGCTGATCGATGAAGTTGATCTATTGATAATCCATTGATCGTTTCTTATTTCATGCACAAAGTGCAGGGTACAATCACTGGAGGTTTTTATACAGTGATGGAAAGTAACAGTACATCTACTCAGTTACACTACATCAGTTACACTACATCATCATAAATCATAGGTTCCTGAGTAATTTACATACTGAACATTTTACTCCATTTGTCTGTCTGCAGACATTTAAGTTAAAAACATGATCAGCTGATGATATGATCAATATTATAGAGCAATGCTCTGCACCGACCGGTTTTAGTTGTGACTGATCACACCTGCACAGGTGTGCAGGGATTAAGTTTTCTTGTTCATATGAGATTAAAAATCAAACCTTTGAGGATGCTCCATTTTCTAACATTGAAGATGATGTTCTGCGTAATGAGGATTTTACTTTGAAAACCTGTAATTAAATGAACAAAAGTTTTTGTTTTTTTTCTTCTATGAATTACACTTTGAGTTGATGAAGCATCTGAGGTATTTGAAAGTCATTTTCGATCATCAGCTAATTATAAGAGGAGAGACTGATCTGACTGCAGCAGTGTTGAGGTTTTTACATGTAACTTGAAGTGTAATTAATGTGAAAGTGTTACAGCTCAAACAAGAAACAAGAATTTTGTGAAGCTGTACATGAGTCAGTTTGTGGACCTGCCGTGTCTGGTGTTGATACCTGGGTTTTGTTTTCTGCAGGTATCCCTCCTGATCAGCAGAGGCTGATCTTTGCTGGAAAGCAGCTGGAGGATGGACGCACGCTGTCCGACTACAACATCCAGAAGGTGAGAACTTAAATCAGGACCAGTCCAAGAGCTTTAAACTTTGAAATGAATCTGATCACCTGGCTGTGATCTGCTCATCGTCTGCAATTTATTCAACATTTAGACAGTTTAAAATTTTAAACACCTGTATTTATTTGGAAAAAAAACCAAAAAAAAACAAAAGTTGCTGCGTCAGGTTTCACTGGATGAAGAAAACTACTCATCAGTGTTGTTTGTTCTCAGGAGTCCACCCTGCACCTGGTGCTGAGGCTCCGTGGTGGTGCCAAGAAAAGGAAGAAGAAGTCCTACACCACTCCCAAGAAGAACAAGCACAAGAGGAAGAAGGTCAAACTTGCTGTGCTCAAATACTACAAGGTACAAACACATGGCTCCCTGTCACATGGTTCATGCTGAGAGCTGATCTACACTAAAGTGAGGTGACTGATCTGAACCAGGAGCAGGTCAGCATGTGTTGGTCTGTGGTGATAGAAGCAGAATTAAAGTCCATACTAATGTTACCAATCTGCAAATTAACTTCGTTTTATCAGTTTGTTTGTCGGATCAGAGTAGAGTTCTACTTAACTCGCTGAAATGATTTCTGTTCAAGATGTTCAAGTAACTTAAATCAGTTAAATCATGAATTTAAATGATTAAATCAGTTAATGTTTCCTACAGTGATTCAGACTTGTAGGATCCCTCAAGCTTCTCACCACAGGCAGATTAGTGTCTAGTTCTGCTCTTATAGTTGATGTTAGATCAGACAGTTTTTATCACTCGCTAAATCAGTTTCTCATAAAATGTTTCCAGTTTCAGTCAAAAACTAAATGAGACGTTTCAGATTCATCTAAAACATTTTCCTTTTTAAGTTTTAATGTTTTTTTGTTTTGTTTTTCCACTTGTGTGTCCAGGTGGATGAGAACGGTAAAATCCACCGGCTGAGGCGCGAGTGTCCGGCTGACGAGTGCGGCGCCGGTGTCTTCATGGCAAGCCACTTCGACCGTCACTACTGCGGGAAGTGCTGCCTCACCTACTGCTTCAACAAGCCCGAGGACAAGTAGACGGGGATGGACTGAAGGGTGTTAACAATAAAGACGAAAATGTTTGACACATCTCGAGTGTCTGTCTTTACTCAACTTCTTTCACTGATGCAGAAGAGGCAGTGAAATGAGTCAGATTGTCATGGCTGATTATTTTAATATTGTAACATTAAAATAGGGCTGCAGCATCAGTTATCCATGATAATCAACTAATACTGATTCGTATTAAAGCAGGAATGTCAGATTTGTCAGTCATGGGACTATTTGATATTTTTCTTTCAGTAAATTTAAGACATCACTTGCTCATTTCAGACTGAANTTAATATTGTAACATTAAAATAGGGCTGCAGCATCAGTTAATTGCAAATTGTTCTGTTCTAACTTGAATCTGTTCATTTAGATTAACAACCAGTGATTTCAATCTGTCAAAAGGAAAAACTGGCTGATCATTTCAACTCTAAAATTTTTAAAGTATAGTATGTTGTGAAAATATCAATTCACAGTAAAATGTTATTAAAACAGTATAATACGTCAAAGTCATTGCATAGTATGTCTC